CACGTTTTTTGACCCGAGGAGATTCAGGAGGAAAGTAGCCGCGGTAGAAAATGAGCGCTATGTTCGAGAAATCATTCAAAATGATCTGGTTCAGAAGGGTAAAAAGCATATTCGAGAGTTAGCGAAGGATAAAAGAGGAATAAGTGAGCAAGCCAAGACGCATTCGACTGCACCAGAGGTGCCAGTTGGAGTGCTAAGGGGCTTTGATCTACAATATAACCTTTTGAACGGCACAGAAGGATAACTGGGTTGACCGTAGGCTCTTCCGATTACTCCCCCACTTTCGTCTTTGCTTCCAGTTTTTCACTTTACTTCTTGAACTTTGGAGTTTTTGTGTAGTTTTTTCTGCTCGCAAACCCATCGTACTCGCCAACTTTCGGGGACCACTCTAAGCTCTCGGGTAGTAATCTGTGAGTACACTGTATTTCGCATTGATTTTCGCTGTAGTTTCTTCTCTGGAACAATGCTATGGCAGCGTTGTTTGTTAAGCTCTCAAACGAGGGGAAAATCGGAGAAAATCAACACAACGCCAAGTGCTCGAACAGTGCACTAACTCGACTTTCGATTCGCACCTAGAAACCCTTGTGTGCACGAAACGCATGAAACCCCCTTCAAAATTCCCCCGAAAGAGTTGAAATGCTCAGCTGGTACTTACCATTTTCGCATTTGATCGAAACAATCTCATTTCGGGCTCGGATCTCCGCTGTCTCCACCAGAATCTCGTTGTGAGCTCCGAGCACTTTGATACGGACAAAATAAGCCACTCCGGTCGGAAGTTTTGGTATCTGAAAGTAGGGAAGTCAGAACTATGACTTCGTTTTCTCTCAGGACCGCAGGGCGACCAGAGAGCACCCACCTGCACTCGATACTGGTGATTTGGTCCTTTGTAGGGGATTATCCCAGAGTGTACCATCCAGTGTTTGTCCTTTTCAGCACGATATTCGACGAGGAAGCCTTTCACATCCGTGTCAGGATGGTCCCCTGAAGCAATCGTAATGCTGCGTTCATACTTTGCAGCAGCCACCAGCGTCTACCGACTCCACCAGCGACCACTAGCGTTCCGACAGCGTCCGACAACGACTAGGAAGGTATACATATAGATCTGGCGTCTGCGTCCATTAGGGTATCGAGGGCTAGGGAAGTGTAGGTATCCATCTAGCGTCTGCCAGCGTCTACCAGCGTCCACCAGCGTTCACCAGCCGGGAGTAGAGAGTATGGGGAAGTAGGAGGGTAGCAAACAGCTGGATTAGGCGTCGTGAAATTGCGGCGTGTGCAACCGCACCGCACAACTGCTAAAGCACAGAATTATGCAATTTT